TGTGGAGCTCGCTCGTCAGCTGAGGAGCTCTACGCGCGCAGTCGTCTGCTCTGCAACCGAGCTGAGCTGAGCTGAAGCTGAGCGCGTGACACGATCACGATCCGATCGGTGCGTTGCATACGTGTTATTAATAGATGATATGACATGTCTCTCTCCATTTCTCTCTCAGTTCCTCATTCCCACAGTCCTTCTTCTATTATTTACTCTCTAGTTATCTAATCCTATTCACACTCACACTCTGAATCTCGCTCTCTCTCTTTCTCGCTTTCCCTCTCACACAAACACATTCCCTCTTCTTCTTTCTCTCTACTTATTTAATTTTCTATCCCACCCTCTCACTCTCACTTTCTCTCCCTCTCTCTCTCTCTTTCTCACACTTTATCTCTCTCTCCCTCTCGCTCTCTCTCTCTCTCCCTCTCTCTCTCTCTCTCTCTACCTATCTCTCTACACATCTCTCTCTATCTATCGATCGCTATCTCTCCTTTTCCTGATTATCTCTGTCTCATTTTCTCCCCCTTGATTTCCTTATCTCTTTGTCTATCTCTCTTTTTCTCTCACTGGTTTTCTTTGACCCTCTTTTCTGTATCTATATCTCTTGTTCTATTTATTTTGATCTCAGGTTGATCTCATGATTTTATGTATATTTTTTGGTTGGTGTGCTTTGCTTAATTTTTTATTCTTCTTCATATTTCTTCTTCATCTCATGTATATTAATGCTCGCAATCAGTTTACTAAATCTTAACCCACTGTTCTGCATCATATAATTTCCCTAAATTATATTAACCTACTCCTCTTTTAAATGAGTTTAATAAATATACTCATCAGGTTTCATACAATACAATTTCACTTTCAATTTAATTTAACACGCGCTCCGCTCTAATTTCCAAATACACGCACACTCCCATACACAAACACAAACACACACACACACACACAAATACGGCTTTATTTAAGAGCACGTTCCAGCTTGGTGGCTCCTTTTCGCCAGCTGCTGCGGGAGCTGTTGCGAAACGGTTGAGCATTCGTACTCCATTCGCACTCACTGATGGCGATGGCTTAGCGCATAACCGATTGGCAACCGTTTGGCAACTGATTGGCAACCGTTTGGCGCTCCTGCCGCATTGCTCTCCCGCTGACGATTCCGCCTGCCGTTGGGCATTTAAAGTGTTGTTGTGTTTTGTGGTTTTTCTTCTCCCGTCTTTCGCTTTTTACCTTACCTTACTCACTTCTCTTTTTATTTCACTTAACCAAACGACCTTCATGCTCACTTAACAGTTATGTGCACTTAGCCGACGATCTCCGGCTAGTGTGAGTGAGTGAGTATGTCTGAGTGACTGTGTGTGTGCGCTCACGTAAGCCACTAGCTTACTCAGAGGCGGGAGATAAGAAGTCGAATAAGTTTCAACTCCTGAGGCAGCGGATGTAAAGTCTACATTGTACAATACCAATATCTATATACGTATTTTCATTAAAGAAATTACCAAAAAAAAAAAAAAATAATAATAATAATATGGTACAGTCATGTGTAATGCACAAACCGGCTTAAAATGCTAAGTGCAATGGCCAAAATGAGTGAAAAAGCTACAGGAAAACAATTATTTCGATGTGTGCCAATTGGCTGGAAGTTGATTCAATTGAATGAACCAAATCAATGATGCTTAATCATATTTAATGATATACATTTACTTTGTGTTTAAAGTATGTCAAATAGCTGGTTAACAGAGCGTGTTGCTGTAAAGCTGTTGCTAACAGAACAGTTATTGCTAAAAGCTGTCAAGCCAAGTCTGAAACAGTTCACTTAACTTGTATAAGGCAAAACTGTTGTGTTCATGATAAGAGTAGTGATGTAATAAACATTTAGGATTGAAAGATGCAATGATTCGTTTAGATTGGAGAGCAAACAAGAGACTTGTAAAATAAACTCGAATAGTTTCGGCTAGAAATAGTTCTCAACAATTTTAGAGAAATGTATTGAAAATCACATTTGTATATAAGAAGTTGAAAGTTGCATGAGATTTACAGTAATGTACGTAGAGTCAATCCAATGTTAAATGAAAATGCTAATGTTTAATTTACAGTGTAGAGTCTACACTCTTAATATTAATGATCCGAGATATATAAGATTCGTAAGCTGAGATATTAGTTATTTATCATAATGTATCAATGCATCACCAGTCCCAAATAAACTAATGAGTCCAATAAGAGTTAAGCTCGCTTTCTTTCTGTCAACATAGCAGCGCATGTCACAGCTGTTAACTGATACCTGTTAACAACATTCTTTGCCAAATAGAGCGCTTCATCTCAATTAGATTCTCGATTTCAGTGAAATCGCATTAAGCGAACAACAAAAATACCGTATATCTACTTGTGAACGGTGAGACTAAAGCTGTTCAGGAGAGGCTTAACAGCGCACAAATATGTCAATCAAGTGCTCGACTCGCATCGAATTCAATTACGCAAACAAAACATGTGAGAGTGTGGGCGAAAGTAGGGCGGCGGGGTGGGGTTAGGCTATACTCCACAGTGTAGGCTTCTCCACGCTTGCCCCCATTGAAGATACGTAACAAAATGTAATGACCGCAAATTAAGACAGCGACGATAAATTGCGAGGCGATGCCTGGTCAATTGTTTTCCATTCGCCACAAAAGATCGGACGGCCGAATCGGTTTTTCCTCGCCGTGCGTGACTTTGACATGCGAAAATGCGTCGGCTCCGCTGGGAAAGCCTAACGAGTCCGCAGTGTGGTAAGAAACAAAAACAAAAAAAAGTTGAAACGTCACTAAATAAATAGAGTTGACCAATATAAAGCTGCACAACTTGACCGTGTGCAGAGGGGCCCTTCAATGAGATGTGAAGTCGTTTATTGTCATCTAAGAATGGTCAAGGGCTGAGAAGTGGGGCATTTATGACTCGATGCCATTGAAGAATGCAGCATGGGGGCACTCACAAGACGAGGGCGTTGGGCAACATGCGCTCGCGCTGCCCTCGTATAAGCTATGGTAACAGACCAATAGACGGAGACTTTGAAAATTACGGCATGCGTTAGCTGTAAACTGTTTTCGAATCAGTTGCCCACATTTCATAATCATACTCATAATCTTGGGCAGTCAATTAAAGAGGTTATTAAACTAGGCAAGACTTGTCATTCTGTGTAAGACTTGAAGACAGAGAGACAGACAACAGATGGCGCTGCTTGAGATTCACTTACTGTAATTACTTTTACTAACTTACCACAGTAACTTTAATAGTTGGTCAGCTGAGCTAACTGTTTCGTAAATAGCATAAAGATTATTTTGGGCTTTTTCTTGAGATTACGAAAAAGCAAATTAACAGCGTGAAATGTTATGCCAACAGATGGCGCCGGCAATCGCCCAGCCCCACATATAAATATTTCCATAGCGAGATGATAGCGACTCTGGGTGGCTAAGTGACCCACACTATTAAAGCACTTCCGCTACAATTACGGGCGGCACATAATAAAGCGCACAAATTTCCGGTACTTACGGCTCGTTTTGTATTTGGCTCCATGTCAACTTTCCCAATCAACGCCGAAATTTACTTAAAAGCAATTAAAAGTGAAAGACGCACTGTGCGAGCTATGCTCAAGCAGAAACAATTTGGGGTGACATAATGAATATATCAAAATAAAATAAAAAAATAAATTATAAAATAAAATATATATAAGTTATATCTATTGGAATGAAATCTAAAATGAATTTCACAAATTCCATATATTTGCGTCAAGCATTTTTTTAATTTTTTTTGCAAATGTGTTTGTCAGCTACTTATTAGCTACTATAACTGTATTAAAGCTTTAGTATATGTCAATGTATAATAGATATGTAAGTGTGTGCAGCTGAGGCCAACCACAGAGCCAAGCGGTGCGTGGCATATTACACGAGCACTACGTGACCTATTGCCATAGAAAAGGAAAACAAAGAGACAAAACAAAACAAGACTTACAAGCTTATATATTATTCACCAGATAGAGAGATACACGCGTGTACTTGCACGTGGATTACCACACACACACACACGCACACACAAACAGTAGACAAATGTTGTGGTAACAGGTAGCTCTTGGCTGACATCTTTCATCTAATCGGTTGCCTAAACGCCTGGAAGTGCATTTCTGCCCGTCATCGTTGCTCCGCTCGGTCGTAACTCAATGCCAAATCAGCGTAACGCATCTCAGATGGATATTTTCATTGCGCACCATTCAACTCTATTTCGTATTACCTTACGCATCTGCCACAACCTGTCTGGGCCAAGTGCAAACAGTTGGCCCCTACGTGTGCGCTAATTACTCAACCCATTCGAGCAGTCTAGAGAGACGGTGTTGTGGGAAAGAAGCTTACGTTAACTAATTGTAATATTGAGCTACCGGCTCAAATGGGAACTAACTATGTAGATAGCAATCTGTTCAATCATACCAAACATTAATATCCTATTCCAGCTACCCTGTATTTAATTGACAAACAAATGACAAGTTCTTCATAGTTAGTGGGGTACAATTGTGGAAACGAAAACAAATTCCAATTCCAATTAATTCCAGTTCCAGTGCATTTTGGATTAGCTGTCACCTGCACGAGATCCCTGAATTAACCAAGTCAAACTCTTCCTTCAAAAAAAAATAAAAATAAATAATTAAATAAAAAAATATTAAAAAATAATTATTCATTATCCAGCTACACTGTAATATAAATGAATCAAATTATACATTGTTTCTTTCTAAAGAGCCCCATCGGCGCGTGGGACACTGCGATGAAGCGTGTCGCTAGGTGCACTTGTCAGCGACCCACTGAATAATTGCCAACGGTTTGTATGCATGGGTGTTCGGTTTCGGTCTTTGGTCTTGTTGTGGCGCCAAGTGCTGTGCGGCATAGAAATGAGCCGAAATTTGGCTATGACCACTAATTGACGGATCGTAAAGTGAAAGTGATCAATCATCAGTTAGCAAAAGTTATGCCCCAGACCCAGTAAAAAGTGCTTGTCATGGCTATTGGTTATCGTGCATTTAATAAACATGGATATATGACAGCATGCATAATTGTAAACACAAGAACATGTGAATGTATAAATTTACAAAACAAAGTATACCAGTGTTTCTAAATAGGCTGCAGCTACTAGTCTGTAATTTAGAATTGTGTCTTGTTCAAATGTTAGTCGGCTTGGAAGTTTCCTAGTAGAAGGACCTTGTTTTGTTTGTTTTTCTTCGTTGTTACTCCACTACTACTACTCGGAGGCAAACACAAGGATATGATATCCTCGGACCTTGCACCCCGTTCAAAAATGCTTCATTTCGATATTTTTATAAATTCGTTGAATCGATCCATTCATTATTTTGTGTCATGTTGTATATACAGCAGACCCTGAAACAGACATAGTAAGTATAGTAATTAGTTGGAATTGGAATTGTCAGAGGAATACTTACTGTCAGGGTCGAAGCATAAAATGAAAATAAATTAATGGCAGCCTCAATGCCTAATATAATATAGCGATTCCGATATACCAACGTTCAGAGTTCGCGATTCAAGTGTATGAGCAAACACAAGGATCTCTACATCCTCGGACCTTGCTCCAAAAACAAATTGACATCTATTTGTTAACGATGGTCCATAATTCCAGAGGATTTATATTATTCTTCTTTATCTAACGAGCTGCAAGAATAGAAAACACAAATTAGGTAATTAGAGTCCGCATTCATGTAAGAGGCGAAGCCAATTTGATAATGTTAAACTGTGAAATAATTCGCACGAAGATTCTGGGTTATGTGGTGAATGATTCAATCAATCAATCAATTACCAAAGAATGACAACATTTGTCCTTATCCTTTAAACTTGCAAAAATTAAGAACACATTTTTATAGAAAATTAAGCCAAATATTCCGCAGTTGAATTTGGCTCCGATTTTGATAATATTTCTGAATTTGGAATTGGAAAAAACTGAGAATTTTATTTCAGATGCGAGCACTGCGAAGCTCTACACCTGAATGACGATTTCACAATTTGTGCTGGACTGCCCAGCTACAAATTGAAGCATCGCCTACTTCGATAATTTGTAAAATGAGTGTGTGTGTCAGAAACGTGATGATTTGTATGCTGTATTGAGGATTTCTCAACACTACTCAACACTAGTCAGCAGTCATATCTGTCCAACCCTATTGATCAACACTGCTTTAATAATTTACCCATACTTGAAAGAAAAAAATAAAAATAAATACAACTCACTGAACGTTTTATAATTTATGTATGTGAAAGGCCTTGGATAAGAACTCCGCAAAAAAGAAAAAAGAAATTTGTATTTCGATGAAATCGTTCTTACCCTTCAAGGCCTTTAAGGCGAAATGCACAACAAGAAAATTAGCAAGCTTTCGTCGTTGGTCGTATAAAATGTTATTACTGTTACCCAACAACAATATAAAATTTAGAATTTGTTTAGTTCTCTACAGGCACCCTCACCCATTGCTTGTTTTTAGCAACACTTTTTTTTATATATATTTACTTTTTTATTTTAGACAAATGTAGCCAAAAGTCCGGTTGCGGTTTTTATTTCATTTCTTAATTTGGAATTTGGAATTTTGAAAAACTGAGAATTTTATTTTAGATGTGAGCACTGCCAAGCTGGACAACTGAATGACGAATTTACAATTTGTCCTACACTGTCTAGACTCAAATTGAAGCATCGCCTACTTTTTTTACTATTTAAGCTTTTCTCAACACTGCTTGGCGGCCATATTGTTATCTGAACAACACTGCACTAAAAGTTATCGGTAAAAATTTCTTCTTACCCTTATAAAATTAAACGGACAACAAAAATAAAGCAAGGAAGAGTAGTAGTCTCTAGTCGAGATTGCTCCAGTGGGAGATCCCCTAAACCATGCAAAGAGTTGATACTCCAATCATTCATTTATACACTCATGCAAAATACACGCACACATATACGCATGTATCCCACTGCGCAGTTAGCAGCGACTGCGCTTGGGACGCAATATGGGCTATACTATGCGAACTTATATGTTGAATATATCCTCATGTTCTGGGGCTATCTTTATTAAACCTTTAGAGCGCGATGCTTACACTGAAATGTGAAGCGAATAATAAGTCTTTAGTAGTTGAAATACATGTTTTTTATACCCTGAATTATATCGATTAAAAGTATGTAACAGGCAGAAGGAGGCGTGGCAGGCCCCACAAATGATATATATTCTTGATCAGGGCGACGCTGAGTCGATTTAGCCCTGTCCGTTTATCTGTCCGTCCGTCCGTATGTATAAAATGTATGTCTCAGAAGATATACAAGCTAGAGATTTTTGTCCTAGGTCCGTGTATATTACGCGCATATCGAGTTTTTCTCAAAAAATCGATAACTACTCCCGATATTTTGGTATCGATGAAAAACCTTATCAAAAACTAGGCGTATTTCAAATACTAGAGGCTTGTGCTTGGCACATGCACGCACTTCAATGTTATGATCCCGATCTACAAGTTTCATGAAGATAGTCCATACACAAAAAAGTTTTTAATCATTTAAGCTCCCATAGTAATCCACCACTGCAGCCAATGTGTGTTTATGCGTGCGGGCGCATGTCTTTGTGTGTGTGCATGTCCGAACAATTATTGAAATATCAGTTGCTCGATGGGTTCAGGAGACCTCGAAGTCGGGCAGTCTCGGTTAGAGCTTTCTTATTTGTTTTTGGGATGGGTTATCGAGAAGTCTCTAGCCCTTATATCTTCTGAGAACACCGAAGTGTTCATGCGGACAGACGGACGGGCTGACGGACATGACTATATAGACTCAGCATGTCGCGCTGATCAAGAAAATACATACTTTCTGGGGTCTACCACTTCTCCCTTCTGACTGTCACATACTTCAATACTTGACTGATTTCCCATTTTCGAAATGGGTTCAGGGGATAAAAACATTTATACATTCTTATGGCTACATTTAACCAGCTATTTTTTATTTAATTTCCGGATTTGGAATTTAGAAAACAAAGATTGCTTACATATATTTATGCAAACAATGTGAAGCTCTACAGCTGAATAACGATTTAAACATGTCATGGCTATTGCTTATCGTGCATTTAATAAACATGGATATATGACAGCATGCATAATTGTAAACACAAGAACATGTGAATGTATAAATTTACAAAACAATGTATACCAGTGTTTCTAAATAGGCTGCAGCTACTAGTCTGTAATTTAGAATTGTGTCTTGTTCAAATGTTAGTCGGCTTGGAAGTTTCCTAGTAGAAGGACCTTGTTTTGTTTGTTTTTCTTCGTTGTTACTCCACTACTACTACTCGGAGGCAAACACAAGGATATGATATCCTCGGACCTTGCACCCCGTTCAAAAATGCTTCATTTCGATATTTTTATAAATTCGTTGAATCGATCCATTCATTATTTTGTGTCATGTTGTATATACAGCAGACCCTGAAACAGACATAGTAAGTATAGTAATTAGTTGGAATTGGAATTGTCAGAGGAATACTTACTGTCAGGGTCGAAGCATAAAATGAAAATAAATTAATGGCAGCCTCAATGCCTAATATAATATAGCGATTCCGATATACCAACGTTCAGAGTTCGCGATTCAAGTGTATGAGCAAACACAAGGATCTCTACATCCTCGGACCTTGCTCCAAAAACAAATTGACATCTATTTGTTAACGATGGTCCATAATTCCAGCGAATTTCTGTTATTCTTCTTTATCTAACGAGCTGCAAGAATAGAAAACACAAATCAGGTAATTAGAGTCCGCATTCATGTAAGAGGCGAAGCCAATTTGATAATGTTAAACTGTGAAATAATTCGCACGAAGATTCTGGGCTATGTGGTGAATGATTCAATTACCAATGCATTAAAACATTTGTGCTTATCCTTTAAACTTGCAAAAATTAAGAACACATTTTTATAGAAAATTAAACCAAAAATTCCGCAGTTGAATTTAGCTCCGATTTTGATAATATTTCTGAATTTGGAATTTGGAAAAACTGAGAATTTTATTTCAGATGCGAGCACGGCGAAGCTCTACATCTGAATGACGATTTCACAATTTGTGCTAGACTGCCCAGCTACAAATTGAAGCATCGCCTACTTCGATAATTCGTAAAATGAGTGTGTGTGTCAGAAACGTGATGATTTGTATGCTGTATTGAGGATTTCTCAACACTACTCAATACTAGTCAGCAGTCATATCTGTCCAACCCTATTGAGCAACACTGCTTTAATAATTTACCCATACTTGAAAGAAAAAAATAAAAATAAATACAACTCACTGAACGTTTTATAATTTATGTATGTGAAAGGCCTTGGATAAGAACTCCGCAAAAAAGAAAAAAGAAATTTGTATTTCGATGAAATCTTTCTTACCCTTCAAGGCCTTTAAGGCGAAATGCACAACAAGAAAATTAGCAAGCTTTCGTCGTTGGTCGTATAAAATGTTATTACTGTTACCCAACAACAATATAAAATTTAGAATTTGTTTAGTTCTCTACAGGCACCCTCACCCATTGCTTGTTTTTAGCAACACTTTTTTTTATATATATTTACTTTTTTATTTTAGACAAATGTAGCCAAAAGTCCGGTTGCGGTTTTTATTTCATTTCTTAATTTGGAATTTGGAATTTTGAAAAACTGAGAATTTTATTTTAGATGTGAGCACTGCCAAGCTGGACAACTGAATGACGAATTAACAATTTGTCCTACACTGTCTAGACTCAATTTGAAGCATCGCCTACTTTTTTTACTATTTAAGCTTTTCTCAACACTGCTTGGCGGCCATATTGTTATCTGAACAACACTGCACTAAAAGTTATCGGTAAAAATTTCTTCTTACCCTTATAAAATTAAACGGACAACAAAAATAAAGCAAGGAAGAGTAGTAGTCTCTAGTCGAGACTGCTCGAGTGGGAGATCCTCTAAACCATGCAAAGAGTTGATACTCCAATCATTCTTTTATACACTCATGCAAAATACACGCACACATATACGCATGTATCCAACTGCACAGTTAGCAGCGACTGCGCTTGGGACGCAATATGGGCTATACTATGCGAACTTATGTATATGTTGAATATATCCTCATGTTCTGGGGCTATCTTTATTAAACCTTTAGAGCGCGATACTTACACTGAAATGTGAAGCGAATAATAAGTCTTTAGTAGTTGAAATACATGTTTTTTATACCCTGAATTATATCGATTAAAAGTATGTAACAGGCAGAAGGAGGCGCGGCAGACCCCACAAATGATATATATTCTTGATCAGGGCGACGAGCTGAGTCGATTTAGCTCTGTCCGTTTATCTGTCCGTCCGTCCGTATGTATGAAAGCGTCAATCTCAGAAGATATACAAGCTAGAGATTTTTGTCCTAGGTCCGTGTATATTACGCGCATATCGAGTTTTTCTCAAAAAATCGATAACTACTCCCGATATTTTGGTATCGATGAAAAACCTTATCAAAAACTAGGCGTATTTCAAATACTAGAGGCTTGTGCTTGGCACATGCACGCACTTTAATGTTATGATCCCGATCTACAAGTTTCACGAAGATAGTCCATACACAAAAAAAGTTTTTAATCATTTAAGCTCCCATAGTAATCCACCACTGCAGCCAATGCGTGTTTATGCGTGCGGGCGCATGTCTTTGTGTGTGTGCATGTCCGAACAATTATTGAAATATCAGTTGCTCGATGGGTTCAGGAGACCTCGTAGTCGGGCAGTCTCGGTTAGAGCTTTCTTATTTGTTTTTGGGATGGGTTATCGAGAAATCTCTAGCTCTTATATCTTCTGAGAACACCGAAGTGTTCATGCGGACAGACGGACGGGCTGACGGACATGACTATATAGACTTTCTGGGGTCTACCACTTCTCCCTTCTGACTGTCACATACTTCTATACTTGACTGATTTCCCATTTTCGAAATGGGTTCAGGGGATAAAAACATTTATACATTCTTATGGCTACATTTAACCAGCTAGTTTTTATTTTACTTCTGGATTTGGAATTTAGAAAACTGAGATTGCTTACATATATATATATGCAAACAATGTGAAGCTCTTCAGCTGAATAACGATTTAAACATGTCATGGCTATTGGTTATCGTGCATTTAATAAACATGGATATATGACAGCATGCATAATTGTAAACACAAGAACATGTGAATGTATAAATTTACAAAACAATGTATACCAGTGTTTCTAAATAGGCTGCAGCTACTAGTCTGTAATTTAGAATTGTGTCTTGTTCAAATGTTAGTCGGCTTGGAAGTTTCCTAGTAGAAGGACCTTGTTTTGTTTGTTTTTCTTCGTTGTTACTCCACTACTACTACTCGGAGGCAAACACAAGGATATGATATCCTCGGACCTTGCACCCCGTTCAAAAATGCTTCATTTTGGTATTTTGTGTCATGTTGAATATACAGCAGACCCTGAAACAAACATAGTAAGTAGTAGTTGGAATTGGTATTATCCGAGGAATACTTACTGTCAACGTCGGTGTAGGATATGGAAGCATAAAATGAAAATAAATTAATGACAGCCTCCATGCCTCAATAATATAATATAGCGATTCCGATATACCAACGTTCAGAGTTCGCGATTCAAGTGTATGAGCAAACACAAGGATCTCTACATCCTCGGACCTTGCTCCAAAAACAAATTTACATCTATTTGTTAACGATGGTCCATAATTCCAGCGAATTTATGTTATTCTTCTTTATCTAACGAGCTGCAAGAATAGAAAACACAAATCAGGTAATTAGAGTCCGCATTCATGTAAGAGGCGAAGCCAATTTGATAATGTTAAACTGTGAAATAATTCGCACGAAGATTCTGGGCTATGTGGTGAATGATTCAAGTACCAATGCATTAAAACATTTGTGCTTATCCTTTAAACTTGCAAAAATTAAGAACACATTTTTATAGAAAATTAAACCAAAAATTCCGCAGTTGAATTTAGCTCCGATTTTGATAATATTTCTGAATTTGGAATTTGGAAAAACTGAGAATTTTATTTCAGATGCGAGCACTGCGAAGCTCTACATCTGAATGACGATTTCACAATTTGTGCTAGACTGCCCAGCTACAAATTGAAGCATCGCCTACTTCGATAATTCGTAAAATGAGTGTGTGTGTCAGAAACGTGATGATTTGTATGCTGTATTGAGGATTTCTCAACACTACTCAACACTAGTCAGCAGTCATATCTGTCCAACCCTATTGAGCAACACTGCTTTAATAATTTACCCATACTTGAAAAAAATAAAATAAAATAAAAACAACTCACTGAACGTTTTATAATCTATGTATGTGAATGGCCTTGGATAAGAACTCCGCAAAAAAGAAAAAAGAAATTTGTATTTCGATGAAATCGTTCTTACCCTTCAAGGCCTTTAAGGCGAAATGCACAACAAGAAAATTAGCAAGCTTTCGTCGTTGGTCGTATAAAATGTTATTACTGTTACCCAACAATATAAAATTCAGAATTTGTTTAGTTCTCTACAGGCACCCTCACCCATTGCTTGTTTTTAGCAACACTTTTTTTTATATATATTTACTTTTTTATTTTAGACAAATGTAGCCAAAAGTCCGGTTGCGGTTTTTATTTCATTTCTTAATTTGGAATTTGGAATTTTGAAAAACTGAGAATTTTATTTTAGATGTGAGCACTGCCAAGCTGGACAACTGAATGACGAATTAACAATTTGTCCTACACTGTCTAGACTCAAATTGAAGCATCGCCTACTTTTTTTACTATTTAAGCTTTTCTCAACACTGCTTGGCGGCCATATTGTTATCTGAACAACACTGCATTAAAAGTTATCGGTAAAAATTTCTCCTTACCCTTATAAAATTAAACGGACAACAAAAATGAAGCAAGGAAGAGTAGTAGTCTCTAGTCGAGACTGCTCGAGTGGGAGATCCTCTAAACCATGCAAAGAGTTGATACTCCAATCATTCTTTTATACACTCATGCAAAATACACGCATACATATACGCATGTATCCAACTGCGCAGTTAGCAGCGACTGCGCTTGGGACGCAATATGGGCTATAATATGCAAACTTATATGTTGAATATATCCTCATGTTCTGGGGCTATCTTTATTAAACCTTTAGAGCGGGATGCTTACACTGAAATGTGAAGCGAATAATAAGTCTTTAGTAGTTGAAATACATGTTTTTTATACCCTGAATTATATCGATTAAAAGTATGTAACAGGCAGAAGGAAGCGTGGCAGACCCCACAAATGATATATATTCTTGATCAGGGCGACGAGCTGAGTCGATTTAGCTCTGTCCGTTTATCTGTCCGTCCGTCCGTCCGTATTTATGAGCGCATCGATCTCAGAAGATATATAAGCTAGAGATGTCACATACATCTATACTTGGCTGATTTCCCTGTTGCTACTCTTGCTAGCAAGTAATTTCATTTTATTACATCACGAAAATAGAATAACTTTTAGTCGTTTTCTTTAGTTTTTCCATTGGTTTATTCCATTTGTCCATATTTATATTAAATATTTCACGCATTAATCTTATTTAAACATAATTAAACGATAAAATAATATAAAAGTATACACATATTTCTATGTGTTGTCCTGCCGTTCTTCTGCTCTTTCTTACGACTAACTGATCGACATATGGAAGCTTGAGACCAGGGCTGCGACCTATCGATAACTTACAGGGGTGAAAGACGGATATCTAAATTCGAAATTAACGTTTGATATGATTTAATTCACAACATTCCCATTTTCGAAATGGGTTCAGGGGATAAAAACATTTATACATTCTTATGGCCAAATTTAACCAGCTAGTTTTTATTTTATTTCTGGATTCGGAATTTAGAAAACAAAGATTGCTTACATATATATATATGCAAACAATGTGAAGCTCTACAGCTGAATAACGATTTAAACATGTCATGGCTATTGGTTATCGTGCATTTAATAAACATGGATATATGACAGCATGCATAATTGTAAACACAAGAACATGTGAATGTAAAAATTTACAAAACAATGTATACCAGTGTTTCTAAATAGGCTGCAGCTACTAGTCTGTAATTTAGAATTGTGTCTTGTTCAAATGTTAGTCGGCTTGGAAGTTTCCTAGTAGAAGGACCTTGTTTTGTTTGTTTTTCTTCGTTGTTACTCCACTACTACTACTCGGAGGCAAACACAAGGATATGATATCCTCGGACCTTGCACCCCGTTCAAAAATGCTTTATTTTGGTATTTTGTGTTGAATATACAGCAGACCCTGAAACAAACATAGTAAGTATTAGTTGGAATTGGTATTGTCAGAGGAATACTTACTTTCAACGTCGGTGTAGGATATGGAAGCATAAAATGAAAATAAATTAATGACAGCCTCCATGCCTCAATAATATAATATATCGGTTCCAATATACCAACGTTCAGAGTTCGCGATTCAAGTGTATGAGCAAACACAAGGATCTCTACATCCTCGGACCTTGCTCCAAAAACAAATTGACATCTATTTGTTAACGATGGTCCATAATTCGAGCGAATTTCTGTTATTCTTCTTTATCTAACGAGCTGCAAGAATAGAAAACACAAATCAGGTAATTAGAGTCCGCATTCATGTAAGAGGCGAAGCCAATTTGATAATGTTAAACTGTGAAATAATTCGCACGAAGATTCTGGGCTATGTGGTGAATGATTCAATTACCAATGCATTAAAACATTTGTGCTTATCCTTTAAACTTTCAAAAATTAAAAACACATTTTAATAGAAAATTAAGCCAAAAATTCCGCAGTTGAATTTAGCTCAGATTTGATAATATTTCTGAATTTGGAATTTGGAAAAACTGAGAATTTTATTTCAGATGCGAGCACTGCGAGGCTCTACAGCTGAATGACGATTTCACAATTTGTGCTGGACTGCTCAGCTACAAATTGAAGCATCGCCTACTTCGATAATTTGTAAAATGAGTGTGTGTGTCAGAAATGTGATGATTTGTATGCTTTATTGAGGATTTCTCAACACTTCTCAACACTAGTCAGCAGTCATATCTGTCCAACCCTGTTGAACAACACTGCTTTGATAATTTACCCATACTTGAAAAAAATAAAATAAAATAAAAACAACTCACTGAACGTTTTATAATCTATGTATGTGAATGGCCTTGGATAAGAACTCCGCAAAACAGAAAAAAGAAATTTGTATTTCGATGAAATCTTTCTTACCCTTCAAGGCCTTTAAGGCGAAATGCACAACAAGAAAATTAGCAAGCTTTCGTCGTTGGTCGTATAAAATGTTATTACTGTTACCCAACAATATAAAATTCAGAATTTGTTTAGTTCTCTACAGGCACCCTCACCCATTGCTTGTTTTTAGCAACACTTTTTTTTATATATATATTTCCTCTTTTATTTTAGACAAATGTAGCCAAAAGTCCGGTTTTTATTTTGTTTCTTAATTTGGAATTTGGAAAAACTGAGAATTTTATTTTAGATGTGAGCACTGCCAAGCTGGACAACTGAATGACGAATTTACAATTTGTGCTAGACTGCCCAGCCTCAAATTAAAACATCGCATACTTTGATTTGTAAAATACGAGTTTTGTGCCTTGGTCACAAAATCGGAAAGATTGTATACATCAAAGTAGGCGAAGTTATTGTTTTAGTTTTTCTCAATATTACTGAACCTGGAAGGAACTGAACCTGGAGGAATTCAACAGGGTGTTTATTTCACATTTTGTTTCCTTTGCAGCTAACGCTGCATCGTTGATTTTTGTTGGTCTTGAGAGTCACTTAGTTGAGTTTTGTTGCTTGGGAGTAAAAATCGTCGCCTAGCGCATGATCTTTTGTTGATTGAACAAAGAATAATTTGCATCCCAAATCTCTAAATTCGTTAATCGAATTCCATTTTACTTTCTTAACTGATGCATCAGTAAGTTAATATAATTTCCTAAGCAATTCAGATATTAAGCAAATGGTCGCTTTTGTGTTGTGATCCACCGAGTACCTCCTTTAATTTCCAATGTCTCTTCAGCTTTGAGTTTGACAGCAACTGGAGATCAATTATTTGGCTCTTATTTTCTTAGTTACAGTCGTATGGTGAGCTTTTATTACGGCCCACAGAGCTTTGAAAGCTTGCAAGCTTAACGCAGCTCCAAACCAATTGTGCGCAATCACGTTTGAGAAGCACTGGACGGAATATATGTATACACGCAGCTAACATTTTTTAAACGTGCTCGCTTTATTGACTAACTAACAAATACAAAAAAAAAAGAAGGAAGATCATTCCCACATAATCTCCTAATTGGATGGAGTATGCAATGTGGCTCTCGTTTGTTCAGTTGTGAAAGGACTTATAGCTCCGTGTGCTGGCTAGCACCACCCAGATAATCCTCTTTGATCATATCGGCACCCTTCTCACCAATCATAATGCAAGCCGCATTCGTGTTCGCTCCAACAATATCGGGCATAATGCTGGCATCGATCACCCGGAGTCCCCGCGCACCATGCACGCGGAGGCGGGGATCGACGACGGCCGTGGGATCGCTGGCGGGTCCCATGCGGGCCGTACCGACTGGATGGTAGACAGTGGTGGTCATGTGGCGTATATAACAGCGCCAATACTCGTCCGACTGATATTCCAGGGCATTGCAGGCCTCCAAGTCGACCTTGTGCAGAGCTGCCTCACGCTCGCCGAAAGCTCGCGTCTCCGGCAGCCGCTTGTAGATGTTGAGGGCACGTATGTAGGTCTCCACATCGCGATCATCGGTCATGTAGCCCGGATCGATGAGGGGTGCGTCTAAGAAGTCGGCGCTCTGCAGCTCCAGTCGGCCAGCCGAGAAGGGCTTCAAGTGCAATAGGTAGGTGATATACGTATTTGACTTCTCGTTGGCGGACAGAATGCTCTTGGCCACACGATCATTGAATCCGGTGGCCTTCACATAGCCACGCAGCTCCGGACTCTGCATCAGACTGAAGAAATTGGTTGTCTGAATGTCCGGATTGGGACCATGCAAGGAGGTAGTATTGATGAAGCCCGTCAAGGCAGTTGCCTCGTGGTGCAACAGCTTGCTGTGGCGACCCATCAACAGATTGTACATGGCATCCACCAGCTCCTCCTCAGTGGGCTTGCGGGCCGTCGACTTGTCGATCTGGAAGATTACGGGCAAGCTGGCGTGATCCTTCAGGTTGCGGCCCACGGGCAGATCCAGTTTAACGGGCACGCCAATGCTTCTCAGGTGCTCGGCTGGGCCAATGCCTACGGCATGAAAAGGAGAACGATTTAAATAGTTAGATGGGTCGCACATATAGCACAAGGAAATAAGATAAATGCTCTGGATGCCATGACAATTAGTTCAACCAAAGTCACATTTGTAGATTAGATTTAATATTACTTTGTATACGAAGCAGACTGAAACTGAAGACCTTGAACTGATGAGATTAACGTCTCTAAGTGGGAGATGCCATAAAAACATAGGCTGTTCCATAAAGCGAACAGTAGCAACATATGCAACTATCGGATAGCGTTATCTCGGCCATAAAAGCCTCAAACAATTCGTTTGTTTTCTATTTTTGCATAACTTTTGGCAATCTAATCAAATGTGGGCAAAGATTAAAGGCCGACAAAGAGAGCAGCGACTCGTTTGACCTTGCTAGACCTTGGGACTCCAGTGTGACCCGCTGCACATACCTGAGAGCATTAGAATCTGTGGAGTGCCAATGGCACCAGCCGAGAGGATAATCTCCTTGCTGGCACGCACTGTGTACTCCTTTTCGCCGCGATGAACGAAGGTGACGCTCTCCGCCCTCTGCTTGCCGTCCAGGTTAATGCGCTTCACGTGGGCGTGGCGCACAATGTGCAGATTGGGCGTGTCCTTGCGGAGGTGGGATCGGGCGGTGGTAATGCGACGCCCGCCGTCTTGAGTGCCCAGTATATCGATTTGACCGATAAACGAGCCCTCCGTAAAGTCCGGCGCACTGCCGTAGCCCATCTCCAGCATGCCCGCCCGGATGGTCGAGCGGAACTCATTGTCCGAGACGTAGTTATTAATGCCCATGGGTCCACCAACGCCATGATCGCCGGGCTTATAGTCGGGCCGTGTGGAACGCAGGTCCTCCGCTTTACGGAAGTACTTGAGCACCGCGTCGTAGCCCCAGCCGGGATTGCCGCGCGCCTCCCAGTCATCAAAGTCGGTGCGTGTGCCGCGTGCATAGATCATCGCGTTCATTCCGTTCGTGCCGCCCAGCATCTTGCCTCGCGGCCAATGGCAGCTCTCGCCGAGCATGGCCATGCAGGCTCGTCCGTTGGGCTGCGTATGGTACTGCCAGTCCCAGTCGGAGAACTGTGTGGCCATGTGCCAGGCGACGAATTCCGTTTCGACTGGCGGATCGCCGCCTGCCTCCAGCAGCAGGATCCGCCAATTCGCTTGCTCCGCTAACCGGCCAGCCACGACGGCACCCGCACTGCCCGCACCCACCACAACGAAATCGTACGGCTCATCGAAGCCGCCCGCATTGTCTAGCCAATCGCCGCGATCGGGCGGCCACTGACTCTTGCCACTCAGATCACAGTATTTCGCGATCAGCGTATGCAGCAGGAGCGACATTAGCGTATTCGCTGGACCCGCCGATCTAGCGGCGCACTCAGTGCTTAGGAACTCCATTTCTCTTCGCTGATATAGAACTCTGAACGTAACGACTGGTGACCTAGCGCTCCGGTCACTGGCGCTGTCCGTGCGCTACTATTCACCGGACAGAGCCGGTAGCTCGCATTTGTACGGTCGCGCAGCGCCAAACATTCGAATGCCGCACGCGTCGCCGTAAATCACCTGCGCCATTTGCATTGCAAATAGACCACCGTACGTATGGGTATATGATGTGTGCGTGTGTGTGTATGCTCTGCCGGACGCGCCTTTATCACTGCCACAGAGATTAGATGTGACATTCAAGAGCAGGTGCAGCCAGAACTAAGGCGAAGCCTAAACTACTAAGCGAACAGCGTTTGATAAGCCCCGCTGGCCCATTCAATTATCGGGCCCCCAAATCGTTTTTTATGATCGCACCTAACAAGGCAATTCAGCCAGCTCTCTCTCTCTCTCTCTCTCTCACCCTCGTTCACTCTCTCAATCTTGATCTCTCTGCCGTTGAAGATAAGCTTTTGCTGCGCCTACTATGGTATCTGAGCGCTGTGCGCTGGGTGGGCGGGCCACGCTCACCGGCTAGGCACCAGCAACATCTCAACATTGCTGTTAGCAGGAATGGCTGCATACCTGGGCTCGGTCAACACGAACCGTTGGGCACTCTGCCAGCCGGTGCAATCTAATCCAGGGTGCGTCTGCCTCTCTCGCTCTCTTTCTAGCTCTGTTTCTATCTTGCCATATTTCAACTTATGCAGCTTGACTTTGTTTTTATTATATTTAAACATATTACTATCTCATGAAGTCGATGTTGTCAAGTCTAGATACCCTGTAAATAATGGAAAATATTTATACTTATTGATAAACGTTAAACTGGTAGTAAATTGTTGGCATTCTTTATCTCTTTTTCATTCTTGAATAGTAAATGTGTTCGATATATTTGTTTACTAAAACCTGCCAATAAAATTGGATTATTGGGAACGAAAACATGACAAGCTATGTTGACTAGATTATTCCACAGTGATCTGCATAGCCGTTATATAGGTATACATATGAATATGCAAAGTACGAGTAAGAAATATTTTTGTTGACTTTGTTTATTAAAGATTATACAATATTTATTTAATGTTTAAAAAAGAAGTGAGTTAACTTTTTGTAATTTTACTACGATTCACAATAGACTGTAATATTAACAAGAAGGTTCTAGTCGAGACTGCTCGACTAGCAGAAACCCTGAACACTCCAAGCTGATATTCTAATCATACTACACATCATTTATGATCATCATTCTGCTAACTGCGCAGAAAGCAGCGACTGCGCTTAGGCTGCGCTGCAGTGTGGGCAATATTATGAGAATTTCGAAATGGGTTCAGGGGATACAAATATTTATACATTCTTATAGCCAAATTTAACCAGCTAGTTTTTATTTTACTTCTGGATTTGGAATTTAGAAAACTGAGATTGCTTACATATATATATATATATATATATATATATATATATATATGCAAACAATGTGAAGCTCTTCAGCTGAATATCGATTTAAACATGTCATGGCTATTGGTTATCGTGCATTTAATAAATATGGATATATGACAGCATGCATAATTGTAAACAAGAACATGTGAATGTATAAATTTACAAAACAATCTATACCAGTGTTTCTAAATAGGCTGCAGCTACTAGTCTGTAATTTAGAATTGTGTCTTGTTCAAATGTTAGTCGGCTTGGAAGTTTCCTAGTAGAAGGACCTTGTTTTGTTTGTTTTTCTTCGTTGTTACTCCACTACTACTACTCGGGGGCAAACACAAGGATATGATATCCTCGGACCTTGCACCCCGTTCAAAAATGCTTCATTTTGGTATTTTGTGTCCTGTTGAATATACAGCAGACCCTGAAACAAACATAGTAAGTATTAGTTGGAATTGGAATTGTCAGAGGAATACTTACTGTCAGGGTCGGTGTAGGATATCGAAGCATAAAATGAAAATAAATTAATGGCAGCCTCCATGCCCCAATAATATATTATAGCGGTTCCGATATACCAACGTTCAGAGTTCGCGATTCAAGTGTATGAGCAAACACAAGGATCTCTACATCCTCGGACCTTGCTCCAAAAACAAATTGACAGCTATTTGTTAACGATGGTCCATAATTCGAGCGAATTTCTGTTATTCTTCTTTATCTAACGAGCTGCAAGAATAGAAAACACAAATCAGGTAATTAGAATCCGCATTCATGTAAGAGGCGAAGCCAATTAGATAATTTTAAGCTGTGAAATAATTCGCACGAAGATTCTGGGTTATGTGGTGAATGATTCAATCAATCAATCAATTACCAAAGAACGACAACATTTGTGCTAATCCTTTAAACTTGCAAAAATTAAGAACACATTTTTATAGAAAATTAAACCAAAAATTCCGCAGTTGAATTTAGCTCCGATTTTGATAATATTTCTGAATTTGGAATTTGGAAAAACTGAGAATTTTATTTCAGATGCGAGCACTGCGAGGCTCTACATCTGAATGACGATTTCACAATTTGTGCTGGACTGCCCAGCTACAAATTGAAGCATCGCCTACTTCGATAATTTGTAAAATGAGTGTGTGTGTCAGAAACGTGATGATTTGTATGCTGTATTGAGGATTTCTCAACACTAGTCAACAGTCATATCTGTCCAAGCCTGTTAAGCAACACTGCTTTAATAATTTACCCATGCTTGGAAAAAATCAGAAAACTAGTAACTGAACGTTATATAAATTATGTATATAAATGGCCTTGGATAAAAACTCCGCAAAAAAGAAAAAAGAAATTTGTATTTCGATGAAATCGTTCTTACCCTTCAAGGCCCTTTAGGGGAAATGCACAAGAAAATTAGCGAGCTTTCGTATAAAATGTTATTACTGTTAGCCAACAACAATACAAAATTCAGAGTTTGTTTAGTTCTCTACAGGCACCCTCACCCGTTGCTTGTTTTTAGCAACACTTTTTTATATATATTTACTTTTTTATTTTAGACAAATGTAGCCAAAAGTCCGGTTTTTATTTTGTTTCTTAATTTGGAATTTGGAATTTGGAAAAACTGAGAATTTTATTTTAGATGTGAGCACTGCCAAGCTCTACAACTGAATGACGAATTTACAATTTGTGTTAGACTGCCCAGCCTCAAATTGAAGCATCGCCTACTTCAATGAATTTGTACTATTTTGGCTTTTCTCAACACTGCTTGGCGGCCATATTGTTATCTGAACAACACTGTACTAAAAGTTATCGGAAAAAAATTCTTCTAAAAATAAACGGACAACAAAAATAAAGTAAGGAAGAGTAGTAGTCTTTAGTCGAGACTGCTCGAGTAGTAGCCTCCAAACTAATGCGTATTTCAAATACTACTTCACTTCAATGTTATGATCCCGATCTACAAGTTTGATGGAGATAGTCCATCAAGAAGAAAAGGTATTAAGCAATTAAGTTTCCATTGTAAGTCCACACTGCAGTCCATGCTTGTCTATGCGTGCTGCCTATGTGCGTCTGTGTGTGTTTATTGTGTAAGCAGAAGGACGCGATGTATTATTGAAATATCAAATTTTCGAAGGGTTCAGGGGATTTCGTAGTCGAGCAGTCTCGAGTAGAGCTTTCTCACTTGTTTTTTTTTTTTTTTTTTTTCAAATTTTGGCGAAATGGGCGTGGTATCCTATATCGGTAAATCTTAAATGCAAATACCCATTGAATCTGAAGACGTTGGGTCTAATAGTATTCAAATTACGTTTAAAAACGAAATCAATTTATCGATTGTCGATAAGGGAGAAACTGGATGGGTTATCGAAAAGTCCCTAGCTCTTATATCTTCTGAGATCTCGGACTTCGTGCGGACAGACGGACGAGTGAACGGACATGTCTATATAGATTCAGCATGTCGCGCTGATCAAGAAAATACATACTTTCTGGGGTCTACCACTTCTCCCTTCTGACTGTCACATACTTCTATACTTGACTGATTTCCCATGCTCGAAATGGGTTCAGGGGATAAAAACATTTATACATTCTTATGGCTACATTTAACCAGCTATTTTATATTTTATTTCTGGATTTGGAATTTAGAAAACTGAGATTGCTTACATATATATATATATATATATATATATATATATATATATATATATATATATATATATATATATATATATATATGCAAACAATGTGAAGCTCTTCAGCTGAATATCGATTTAAACATGTCATGGCTATTGGTTATCGTGCATTTAATAAATATGGATATATGACAGCATGCATAATTGTAAACACAAGAACATGTGAATGTATAAATTTACAAAACAATCTATACCAGTGTTTCTAAATAGGCTGCAGCTACTAGTCTGTAATTTAGAATTGTGTCTTGTTCAAATGTTAGTCGGCTTGGAGGTTTCCTAGTAGAAGGACCTTGTTTTGTTTGTTTTTCTTCGTTGTTACTCCACTACTACTACTCGGAGGCAAACACAAGGATATGATATCCTCGGACCTTGCACCCCGTTCAAAAATGCTTCATTTTGGTATTTTGTGTCATGTTGAATATACAGCAGACCCTGAAACAGACATAGTAAGTATAGTAATTAGTTGGAATTGGAATTGTCAGAGGAATACTTACTGTCAGGGTCGAAGCATAAAATGAAAATAAATTAATGGCAGCCTCAATGCCTAATATAATATAGCGATTCCGATATACCAACGTTCAGAGTTCGCGATTCAAGTGTATGAGCAAACACAAGGATCTCTACATCCTCGGACCTTGCTCCAAAAACAAATTGACATCTATTTGTTAACGATGGTCCATAATTCCAGCGAATTTCTGTTATTCTTCTTTATCTAACGAGCTGCAAGAATAGAAAACACAAATCAGGTAATTAGAGTCCGCATTCATGTAAGAGGCGAAGCCAATTTGATAATGTTAAACTGTGAAATAATTTGCACGAAGATTCTGGGTTATGTGGTGAATGATTCAATTACCAAACCATGACAACATTTGTCCTTATCCTTTAAACTTGCAAAAATTAAGAACACATTTTTATAGAAAATTAAGCCAAAAGTTCGGCAGTTGAATTTAGCTCCGATTTTGATAATATTTCTGAATTTGGAATTTGGAAAAACTGAGAATTTTATTTCAGATGCGAGCACTGCGAGGCTCTACACCTGAATGACGATTTCACAATTTGTGCTGGACTGCCCAGCTACAAATTGAAGCATCGCCTACTTCGATAATTTGTAAAATGAGTGTGTGTGTCAGAAACGTGATGATTTGTATGCTGTATTGAGAATTTCTCAACACTACTCAACACTAGTCAGCACTCATATCTGTCCAACCCTGTTGAACAACACTGCTTTGATAATTTACCCATACTTGAAAAAAATAAAATAAAATAAAAACAACTCACTGAACGTTTTATAAATTATATATGTGAAAGGCCTTGGATAAGAACTCCGCAAAAAACGAAAAAAGAAATTTGTATTTCGATGAAATCGTTCTTACCCTTGAAGGCCTTTAAGGCGAAATGCACAACAAGAAAATTAGCAAGCTTTCGTCGTTGGTCGTATAAAATGTTATTACTGTTACCCAACAACAATATAAAATTCAGAATTTGTTTAGTTCTCTACAGGCACCCTCACCCATTGCTTGTTTTTAGCAACACTTGTTTATATATATTTACTTTTTTATTTTGGACAAATGTAGCCAAAAGTCCGGCTTTTATTTTGTTTCTTAATTTGGAATTTGGAAAAACTGAGAATTTTATTTTAGATGTGAGCACTGCCAAGCTGGACAACTGAATGACGAATTTACAATTCGTGCTAGACTGCCCAGCCTCAAATTGAAGCATCGCCTACTTCAATGAATTTGTACTATTTAAGCTTTTCTCAACACTGCTTGGCGGCCATATTGTTATCTGAACAACACTGCACTAAAAGTTATTGGAAAAAATTTCTTCTTACCCTTATAAAATTAAACGGACAACAAAAATAAAGCAAGGAAGAGTAGTAGTCTCTAGTCGAGATTGCTCCAGTGGGAGATCCCCTAAACCATGCAAAGAGTTGATACTCCAATCATTCTTTTATACACTCATGCAAAATACACGCATACATATACGCATGTATCCAACTGCGCAGTTAGCAGCGACTGCGCTTGGGACGCAATATGGGCTATAATATGCAAACTTATATGTTGAATATATCCTCATGTTCTGGGGCTATCTTTATTAAACCTTTAGAGCGGGATGCTTACACTGAAATGTGAAGCGAATAATAAGTCTTTAGTAGTTGAAATACATGTTTTTTATACCCTGAATTATATCGATTAAAAGTATGTAACAGGCAGAAGGAGGCGTGGCAGGCCCCACAAATGATATATATTCTTGATCAGGGCGACGCTGAGTCGATTTAGCCCTGTCCGTTTATCTGTCCGTCCGTCCGTATGTATAAAATGTATGTCTCAGAAGATATACAAGCTAGAGATTTTTGTCCTAGGTCCGTGTATATTACGCGCATATCGAGTTTTTCTCAAAAAATCGATAACTACTCCCGATATTTTGGTAACGATGAAAAACCTTATCGAAAACTAGGCGTATTTCAAATACTAGAGGCTTGTGCTTGGCACATGCACGCACTTTAATTTTATGATCCCGATCTACAAGTTTCATGAAGATAGTCCATACACAAAAAAAAGTTTTTAATCATTTAAGCTCCCATAGCAATCCACCATTGCAGCCAATGCGTGTTTATGCGTGCGGGCGCATGTCTTTGTGTGTGTGCATGTCCGAACAATTATTGAAATATCAGTTGCTCGATGGGTTCAGGAGACCTCGTAGTCGGGCAGTCTCGGTTAGAGCTTTCTTATTTGTTTTTGGGATGGGTTATCGAGAAATCTCTAGCTCTTATATCTTCTGAGAACACCGAAGTGTTCATGCGGACAGACGGACGGGCTGACGGACATGACTATATAGACTCAGCATGTCGCGCTGATCAAGAAAATACATACTTTCTGGGGTCTACCACTTCTCCCTTCTGACTGTCACATACTTCAATACTTGACTGATTTCCCATTTTCGAAATGGGTTCAGGGGATAAAAACATTTATACATTCCTATGGCTACATTTAACCAGCTATTTTTTATTTAATTTCCGGATTTGGAATTTAGAAAACTGAGATTGCTTACATATATATATATATATATATATATATATATATATATATATATATATATATATATATATATGCAAACAATGTGAAGCTCTTCAGCTGAATATCGATTTAAACATGTCATGGCTATTGGTTATCGTGCATTTAATAAATATGGATATATGACAGCATGCATAATTGTAAACACAAGAACATGTGAATGTATAAATTTACAAAACAATCTATACCAGTGTTTCTAAATAGGCTGCAGCTACTAGTCTGTAATTTAGAATTGTGTCTTGTTCAAATGATAGTCGGCTTGGAAGTTTCCTAGTAGAAGGACCTTGTTTTGTTTGTTTTTCTTCGTTGTTACTCCACTACTACTACTCGGAGGCAAACACAAGGATATGATATCCTCGGACCTTCAAAAATGCTTCATTTTGGTATTTTGTGTCATGTTGAATATACAGCAGACCCTGAAACAAACATAGTAAGTAGTAGTTGGAATTGGTATTGTCCGAGGAATACTTACTGTCAACGTCGGTGTAGGATATGGAAGCATAAAATGAAAATAAATTAATGACAGCCTCCATGCCTCAATAATATAATATAGCGATTCCGATATACCAACGTTCAGAGTTCGCGATTCAAGTGTATGAGCAAACACAAGGATCTCTACATCCTCGGACCTTGCTCCAAAAACAAATTGACATCTATTTGTTAACGATGGTCCATAATTCCAGAGGATTTATATTATTTTTCTTTATTTAACGAGCTGCAAGAATAGAAAACACAAATCAGGTAATTAGAGTCCGCATTCATGTAAGAGGCGAAGCCAATTTGATAATGTTAAACTGTGAAATAATTCGCACGAAGATTCTGCGTTATGTGGTGAATGATTCAATCAATCAATCAATTACCAAAGAATGACAACATTTGTCCTTATCCTTTAAACTTGCAAAAATTAAGAACACATTTTTATAGAAAATTAAGCCAAAAGTTCGGCAGTTGAATTTAGCTCCGATTTTGATAATATTTCTGAATTTGGAATTTGGAAAAACTGAGAATTTTATTTCAGATGCGAGCACTGCGAAGCTCTACAGCTGAATGACGATTTCACAATTTGTGCTGGACTGCCCAGCTACAAATTGAAGCATCGCCTACTTCGATAATTTGTAAAATGAGTGTGTGTCTCAGAAACGTGATGATTTGTATGCTGTATTGAGGATTTCTCAACACTAGTCAGCAGTCATATCTGTCCAACCCTGTTGAACAACACTGCTTTGATAATTTACCCATGCTTGGAAAAAATCAGAAAACTAGTAACTGAACGTTTTATAAATTAATAAATTATTAAAGAAATTTGTATTTCGATGAAATCGTTCTTACCCTTCAAGGCCCTTTAGGGGAAATGCACAAGAAAATTAGCGAGCTTTCGTATAAAATGTTATTACAGTTAGCCAACAACAATACAAAATTCAGAGTTTGTTTAGTTCTCTACAGGCACCCTCACCCGTTGCTTGTTTTTAGCAACACTTTTTTTTATATATATTTACTTTTTTATTTTAGACAAATGTAGCCAAAAATCCGGCAGCTGTAAGCTTCGGCTTTTATTTTGTTTCTTAATTTGGAATTTGGAAAAACTGAGAATTTTATTTTAGATGTGAGCACTGCCAAGCTCTACAACTGAATGACGAATTTACAATTTGTGCTAGACTGCCCAGCCTCAAATTGAAGCATCGCCTACTTCAATGAATTTGTACTATTTTAGCTTTTCTCAACACTACTTGGCGGCCACATAGCTATCTGAACAACACTGCATTAATTATTGGGAAAGTTTCTACTTACCCTTAAACTTGCACTACCAGCGAAAATAGAATCGGGATTTTGTCACTTGAACACTTTCAGCGTCTTTGATGTTACTGCTACCCAAAAATTAATAATTCTTAGATAAAACAAGTTTTTTTAAAAGCTCATTTTTACGGACAAATGTCTGGCAGTCGAATTAGGTCCCGATTTTTATATTCTTTCTGAATTTGGAATTTGGAAAACTGAGAATTTAATTTGAGATGCGAGCACTGCCAAGCTCTACAACTGAATGACGAATTTACAATTTGTGCTGGACTTCCCAGCTACAAATTGAAGCATCGCCTACTTTTTACTATTTGAGCTTTTCTCAACACTACTTGGCGGCCATATTGCTATCTGAACAACACTGCACTAAAAGTAATCGGAAAAAATTTCTTCTTACCCTTATAAAATTAAACGGACAACAAAAATGAAGCAAGGAAGAGTAGTAGTCTCTAGTCGAGATTGCTCGTGTGGGAGATCCCCTAAACCATGCGAAGAGCTCATACTCCAATCATTCTTTTATACAATCACTTCCATGGCGTTGCGGTATCAGAAAGCAAAATATATAGCGCAATAATGATTTCGTTCAGTTCAGGGGCATGTGAGCTTTGACGGGAGAGATGCAAATAATGCGTTTACTCAATTGAATGCTAAATAGATGGACAGAGCTGCTCGTCACTCCCTCGTGAATTACTGAACACAATAGTTTCCCATAGGAATATTTATAGATTTTATTTAAAATATAGTATAGACTTGAGTAAGTTAGTTGCAGAAGCAGGTGAGCAGGTGAGCAGCTGCCCAGGTGACCAGATGCTGGCTACATGTCCTCGTGCACATGTTTACGGGGCGGCTGCTCCGCCCAATCCTCGGCAATGATGTCCGCTGCCCGCTCTCCAATCATGAGCGTGGCCGCATTCGTGTTGGCGCTGACCACGGCGGGCATGATGCTCGCATCGGCCACGCGCAGATTGGAGATGCCTCGCAGCTGGAGGCGTGGATTCACACAGGCGGCGGGGTCGGAGGCGGGTCCCATCTTGACGGTGCTCGTCTGATGGTAACAGGTGATGGTGAAGTACTTGGCATAGCATTTCCAGTAGGCATCGCTGCCGTACTCGCTGGACGCCTCGTCGCATTCCTCAATGGGGATGTGCACCAGCTGAGCGTGATGCTGCCTGTACGACTGCGTCTTGACCAATGACTCCTGATACCGTATGCCGCGCAGCAGCGTCTCCACATCCACGGACTCTGCCAAATAGTTGCTGAACAGCTGCGGCGGCTTCTTGTAGTCGGTGCTCTGCAGTCGTAATTTGCCCACGGCCTTGGGGTGTGAGAGCAGCACAAAGACGCAGAGCACATGGGAGTCCTTTAGCTGGCTCTGCAAATGCTTTATGTAGCGCGTCTGCAGTGAGAGTCCTTTCAGGAAGATATCCAAGGAGTCGTGACGGCCACGTTGAAAGAACAGATGATGGAACTCCAAGTCCGGGTAGCGAGCATCGCTACTGCTGTTCGAGTTGATGAGGCCTACCAACGAGGCGGTGCCATGGGTGGCCAGTGTCCCGGAGTGCTGCGTCAGATACTCATAGATGCTGTCCAGTATATCCTGCTTGGTGGCTGCCTCGGCCACACCAGCGTCCAGCTGGAAGAAGAGCGGCACAACCACATGATCCTGCAGATTGCTTCCCAGGCCGGGCAGATCCCGTACCACTGGCACTTGCAGTTGCTCCAGATGCTCACGGGGCCCAATGCCCGAGCGCATGAGCAGCGCCGGCGAGTCAATGGAACCCGCTGACAGTATCGCCTCCTTGCGCACACCTAGGCGATAGGTGTGGTCGTCGTGCACAAAGCTGATGGCCTCAAGGCGCTCGCCGGCTCCATCGAAGTGCAGCTGGGTTACCTGGGCCCGCTTTACCACATGCAGATTCGGGCGCTTTGCGACCTTGGCCAAGTGACCCTTGGCGGGACTCATGCGATGCCCTTGCCACACAGTGCCCAGCACGTTGCTGTAGCCCACAAAGCTGCCTTCGGCAAACTTGGGCACGATGGGCACGCCCAGCTCTTTGGCGCCGTCGCGTATCATGTCCTGTATTTCCTCATCCTGCACCTCAAATGGACTCAGTGTCACGTAGCCCTGGGGATGAGTCGCATTGCCAACCGGACGTACGGAGCGCTCAAAGTACGGCAGCACCTCGTCATAGCTCCAGCCCTCGTTTCCCAACTTCGCCCACTGGTCAAAGTCGCGTCGATTGCCCCGCAAATAAAGCATTGCATTAGCCGCTCCCGTTCCGCCGAGCATCCGACCGCGAGGCCAATAGCACTGTCCATTCTGCTGCGCCTGGCATGCGGTCCCGGTGTTCTCCGTCTTGTAGTTCCACATGTAATCCGAGAACTCCATCCCAAAGAACAATCCAGGCACCTGTTTAGATAGACAAGAAGGTAGAGAAAAGTGGAAGAGGCACAGAGCGTGTTGCTTAACCTATTTCAGATATCGCTTTAAGTATATAGATTTGCAATTAGAATGGGATCTTATTGCCGTGTTATAGAGCAGCCGTGGTCGAGCACATCAATTTATACATAACTAGCATTAATCGTAGATCTCACATGCATACATTTTATATTCTAAGTCGTAGATCTACTGTGGAAGTCTTCTTTAGTGCCCTTTGCTTTATTTCACTTTTAATCAGGCCATCAGTTACAGCTGCATATCAAAATATTTACTCAAGCCCTATTTAATTATATGGACTTGTTTTTTTTCTATCTCTTATCTGATTAATTTTCAACTTATCTAGAGTGTCCTTGTTTTCAGGCATTGGAAAACTACCAATTAAATGACTTGAATATATTTCTAGATAAGTGGAATAACCTATTATAATTTTATGTGCTTGTTATTAAGATAAGCAAATATATCAAACTGGAGTTTTCTATAAAAGTTTGTTATATTTAAGAATGCTTATATCGTTGGGCTGATAGCTGATTTCAATGTTAAGGGCTATCAAGGTTAAGATTACCCACAAATACTACCTAAATATTTAGCTAACGTCGCTTTATAATCTACAAATTATGAAAGTACGATCTATAGTACTTAATATAATATAATGTATGTATATGTAATACTATTATTTCTATATTATATTATATTTTTTATGTATATTAACATTGAAAAAAAAATTAATAAATAAAATTTAGGTTTTAATTTACCTATATCAAAAATGTATTTTTCTACAACTTTAAAGCTTGAGAACTGCTCGATGTATATATTTAAATTACTCCTGAAATTGGTCTGTTTCAGAAGATTTTCCTAGATACTAAAATCTAGAAATAAACGAACAAATATATGAGCTCAAGTATTATGTTTATATAGACATGACAAACACTCTAGAGTGAATACGAAAATGTCAATCAAAATGTCAATATAACAAATACATTCAATGTATGCAAAGTAAATGCCACCTCATGCCTATCCAATCGAAATGTGAATTTGCATACTTGGGTAAATGGCATGCAAATATTGATACATTTGCGATCTATATACTAGAAAAATATACTAGAAATATATGCATCTTAATAAATTAGCGATATTAAACCGACATCAAGTTTCAAGTGCAAATATTATTCCCAGTAAGTTTTCAACTTTGGCACTCACCTCAGACTCGACGGGCGGATCACCGCCCGCCTCTAGAACGAGCACACGCCAATTGGGATTCTCACTGAGCCGGCTGGCGATCACGGAGCCCGCAGTGCCGCCGCCAATGACAACGAAGTCGTAGGGCTCCGGGAAGCCTCGATTTTCTGCTAGCACCTGGCCATAATCCGGCGGCCAAAGGGTGGTGGGTGCGATATTGCACTGGGCGGTGAGCAGTGTCTGGATCAGCAATTGGACCATTCCCGTCCAGAGGCCAATGCCGGGCGGTGTGCACTGCGCATCGCCAGGACTAAAGCTGATGCTCTGGTTATCAGATGTTGCCAGCATTTTGCTTTTAACTCAATTGAGGCGACTGCGGCGTTTGTAAATAGCTTTTATAGGTGCGATAAGCTCAAAGTTGACGGACTGACTGACTTCGTTACGTCTAGGCAGTGATTGCAATGAGCTTTGTAAACAAAAGACAGCCGAGCAACTGAGTCGCGTTAACAGACTGCGTCATGCCTGACAACTTGACAGTGCCCCGAATCAGTAATCGCCCAGCTACGCTTACAGCAAAATAGCTCAATCATCTGATTGACTGACTGCTGATCAATGCCAACTGCGTACCGCTAGATAAGAAAATATAATCTGCCGCTAATGGATGTAGTAAAGGTGTATGATTAGATAGATTATCTTTCTCCAAGCATGGAAAAGTCGTGAAGAACGATCTACTCATAATTGATTATGTTTTTGTTTTAAGTCTTATTGAACATGAATATTTATCGAATGGTTGGAAACGAATGTTTAGCATTAGTTGGTTACAACTTGCCCTATTTACAATATATATAATTTTCAGGCTAAAAGCAGTACCCATTCAATTTCTTCTTTGCATAGCGCCATATATATAGTGTAGAGTTCGAAAAGAAGAAGAAGAATCAGAAATATGATTTGTTTTATGTAAACATATACATTGGAATATTTATTAGCTTTTTTGCACTCGTATTTATCATATTTTTGAATTATATTTCATAAGTATCGTATAGTATAATATATCTATTACATTTATAATACTTTAGAGTCATATGCATCATATACAGTCGAGTCTTGATAATTCATACCCCGCTAAATCAAAAATCGCGATAAATCGAAAAAATTCTATCCCCTTGAAAGAAATTCGTTCTCAACAATTATCGATAATTTGAATTCCTGTGTAAATCGAAGAAAAAAAAACGGATCCTTTTGCCAATTCGAATTATCGGGATTCTATTGTAGTATATTCCTTAGTGCAGACTTACGTCATTTATGTCACATATATATTGAATACCTTTATTGACTTATTCAATGATTCATTGCGAGAGTACTCATATCAGAAATGCATTCCTGCCATTAAGTCTATTTGGAATCTTAATTTGTATATCTGTTTATGAAAACACTCACGTCTCTTGAGTTTCAGTATTATGGAAAGCCTAACTAAAGTTTGTTAGACTTGAAGAAATAACATTTATTGTCTTAGTCTCTTACAAGCTTTTGCTTGGGCCCCTTGGAAATAATTTCTTGAAAATCGGCATATCGATATTGAAATAACTTAAATATACACTTTCAATATCTTTCATATTTATTAACAAGTCAGCCTAAATGGAGCTAAATGGAAACAGGCTTATAATGAGCTTAAACTTTGAATGAACCCGTTTACGTAATTGTATTCATCGTGCACGTGCGTAAGTTTATATATACATAATGCTAAAGGTCTTTTGTGCTTGTAAAGTGCTTCTTATGATCTATAAATAAATCATTAATCATTACATTGTAGAAACAAAGATTACATTTAAATCAAAGCAAACAGGCATAAAAAAAAGATTTCCAGTTACATTCATGAGAAGCTAAATATAATGATATATATATGTTATATGGATGATTATCATCAACATAATTGAATAATTGATTGAATTGAATATTGAATAACGAACTGATCTAAAGCAGAATTAGGGTTGTTGAAAATATATCAAAATATCAATATATCTATATATTTTTCAACAAAAAATATATTTCTAGCGGAATTATGTTTGACCAAATATCGAATATTTGTTCGATATTTTTGATATATTTGAACCAATTGTGAATCTACAAAAATGCAATATGGTCATTCTGACTTTAATAATGGAACAGCCAAATGTAATTTGTGCCTTAAAGTAATGAAAACAAGTGCTAACACATTAAATATGCCGTCGCATATGAAAAGCAAATGTTATGATGCTTTTGAGTGCCGAATACTGGAGTTAAGCTTGCTCATTTAAATACAAAATGCTCATTCATATTTTTCTGGTTTTTTGGGACGGTTTATAAATTTATTGTAGAAAAAAAATATTTTTTTAATCGAAAAATATTGATATATTGATATTTTTAAAGTTGCATATCAAATATCATATTGATATTTTTTCAAAACATAAAATATAATCGATACGATATTTCAAAAATATTCGACAACCCTAAGCAGAGCCTAACCCTAACACTACTTCTGACCTGCACAGACGTGTCAGACACCTGTCACGTGCGCTGCTTAATCTGCTCGATTTATATTCCTCGCATAAGGTGTCACTGCTTACCGTCTAGCGGTAAATTGAACTAAGCACGCTTAATCGCTCGGATCTAATTGGTGCCCGCTCGCCAGCAGCTGTCACCCAGACCCCCGTCGGAGCCGGCCAATGTCGATCAAGGACAGGCGCTCTCTAAACGGCCAACATCCACGGCAATGACAAAAGGCAAGTTTTTCATTAACTCGCTGGCCGATTAATGTTTGTGTCTGATAATTGCTATAAACGGCGCCTGCCACAACCGCATTTTTGTGCAGCGCGTCAGCATTGCGCATATGCGCATATGCCAGGGTATCACGTGCGTGTAGATGCCCTCTGTCGATGGGGTAAGGTAACCAAAGAATCGGAAAGTCACTCAAATATGAGCTAATCTGCAAGATTAAGCATTATTATCAGATGATTTTCTGTTTGCGCTGTATACCCTGTATTATTCTTGATATGGAAAGGCTATCTGAATTTTAATGCAAACTCTTCTCGTCTAGACTCTTGTATATAATACGAAACTATGAAATATATATCTATATATAGCAATGGGTATATTCTTCATTAAATTATAATGTAGGGTATCTTCTAGGTAATTCATTTTCAGTTTATCTTAACTATTGTCTGCTTAGATAAGCTCTTTTTATATCCTGCATGCCACGTTTTTTGGGTCTATCTTTGCCCGTCTAGCTGGTTACCAAATAGTTTTTTGTGTGGTTTTCTTTTTGTATACCTCGAATACACCCCAATGTTTGTAGACCCATAAAAGCAAACGTATACTAGCTGGGTGATAGTGAGCCTATTAACGTCTGGAATAACAGATAAAGTGAACTAGAAGACTCAGAGCCCTGCTGAATTCAAAACAAGTTTTCTGCTCCCTATGCACACTTTTATTGCACCCTTTCTACAGCCTATACCTAATTACAGGGTATTAAAAAAAATGAAATTTATAAATATGTATATATACACATATGTATGTATATATAAGTAACAAGAAAAGGATGTTGAATTAAATGTAAACACAAATTGAGTATTTGATGGTGAGCTGGCGCCCTCTGTCGGCGGCTCACAGTCCACTGTTCATGGCGATGCGGATGAATTGAACGGGTGCGGGCGGCTCCACATTGGCGGCCGCAGCAATCCAATTGCTCACGGGCAGGAGGTTGAGGCCAGCGCTGAGATCTGCAAGGGAATCCGAAGATATAACTGGAATATGTCCAGTTGCCTCTGCTCCATGGGAGGGGGGCGGTAGGCGTAACTCACCCGAAGGATCGCTGAGCGCGGGCGCTGTGGCTGTTGTCGCCTGCTCCGAGGCTGAGGTATCCAGCAGCAACTGTTGCTGCGGCAGGGCCGCAATGGCGGGCAGCACCAGCAGCAGGCCGCACAGCAGCAGCAGCAACTGCAGCTGGTGGTGCTGGTGGTGTTGGTGGTGCTGCTGCTGGTTCTGGAGCTGCTTGCTTCGCGTCATTTTGTTAGCAGCGGATGTCGTGAACTGACCCGTAAGAAAATCTCGGAAACCTTTTTGAAAACTTCAGCGCAGCGAGCGCTATACTCGTGTATATATATGTGTGTGTGTGTGTGTGTGTGTGTGTCAAACTGGTATAACTTGTCGCGTTTGCCATTTGGTTCAGCGCCCGCTCATAAAATACGACAAATGCGCCAAAACAGCAACAGCTACAACAGCAGCAGCAACAATTGCTGGCGCCTGCTGTCAATGCCGCCAGAATTAGCTGGGAAATGCCAACAGCAGTTGCTGCAAGTGCAACAGCAACTAGACAACCAGCAGAGCTTCAAAAATTGCAACGCCAACACACAACAGCAACACTGCAAATCATAACTGGCAGCAACAATTGCAGATGCCACATTATAGGCAGAACATACACAGCGAGAACACATAGAAGTTGCAGCAGCAATAGCAACAACAAGAACAGCTGCAACAGCAGCCGTAGCAACAGCAACAGCAACAATTGGCAAAATCAATTTTAGGAGCAATCGTAGCAACAATCACAGCAACAGCAGCAACAACAATTGGCAACAGCAACAATAACAACCACAATGGGCAACAGCAACATTCTAGTAACAGTAACAAACGTAGCAACCCCACTAACAACAACAGTCGTAGCAACTGCAGCAACGCCAATTGCCAAGAGCAACAATCGTGCCAACAATAGCAACAATCGTAGCAAAAACTAGAATCGTTGCAACAATCGCAGCACCAACAATTGACAACAGTAACAATTATCGCATCAGCAACAATTGTAGCAACAACAATTTGCAACAGCAACAATCGTAGCAAAAATCTAGCAACGACATTAGAAACAGCAACAATCGTAGCAATATCGGAACCAACAATCGACAATTGCAACAATTGTAGCAACAACAGCAACAATCGTAGCACCAATCGTAACAGCAATCTACCCGCAACATTAACAGCAAGTAGCAACAGCAACAATCGCAGCAATAACAGAAGATAGCTGCAACAATTGTAGCAGTCATCGTTGCAATCGTACCAAGAACAGCAACAAAGTTGGCAACAACTGCAAAGGCAACACAGCAACATTCTAGCAACAAAAAAAAAGCAACAGTAACAAACGTAGCAACAATCGTAGCAACAACAATTAGCAGCTACAACCACAACCGCAATCAGAGCAACGATTGCGGCTGCCGCAGCAACTGTTGCTGTCTCACATTTCAAACTCAATTATGCACAAATAGTTTTGATCGATATTTCAGTGGGAACGCCCCCGCGCCTCGCCCTATGCGCGGCCAATTACAGTTAACCCACAAATAACCAAAACTATGCTACAAATCAGGTTTCCCGATCACAAAGTTTTTGAGCTAAATTTTCTCCTATATACACATATGCATATATATATATATATATATATATATATATACAATGGGATTAGCGAAGAAGAAGCAGAAATCTTGTCGTTGTTTCGGTTATTTTTGGCAATATTTGCTGGCACGTCAACATCTGCAGCTGGCCAACTGCGATTGGCCAATACGAATGGCACAAGGCTGCAGCTCTCGGCCTCGGCTGACCCCTAGCCATTGACCCCCGGCTGAGTCGGTGCTTGAATACAGTTAGTGTTGACCCGCATGTGGCACTGTTAGAAATAAGCTTTTAACCTTCGCTTGCAAGCCAAAATTCATTTCGATTCGTTTCTATTTTTATATAGTTTTTATAATAATTTTCAAGGCGTTCATGATTTTTGTCACGCCAGAAGGTTAGCTTAAGAAATCCAGAAATTCTCTATATTTTTTATTTTTTTTACATTTTTTTTTTTTTTTTTTTGTTTATCAGTTACGAGATATTTCTGGATCGGTATCAAAGGAGAGGTAGAAAGATCCCATCCCATACATATATTGCATGGGTTATTCCCTATGTTGGATTAGTCGCATCAAGAACACGATTTCATTGCCAAGAGAATCCGCTTTGAGGCTCCTTCCAAGTCTCTATTCAGTTTTATTAAAGTCATATAAGAAAATGCTTAGCTTAGTCTATGCAGAGAGAAGTCGAACAGGTGGCGATCTGTAGATCGCTATAGCCAACCGCCGTGTGGATAATGGTGCCAGTCCTCCTTGATCATGTCGGCGCCCCGCTCCGCGATCATCAGCGTGGGCGCGTTGGTGTTGCCGGTGGGAATTGTGGGCATGATGCTCGCATCGATGACCCGCAGGCCGCGCAGGCCACGGACGCGCAGGCGCGGATCGACCACGCCCATGGGATCCGCGGCGGGCGCCATTTTGCAGGTGCCGACGGGATGGTAGATTGTCTGCGAATAGTAGCGGGCGAGGCACTCCCAGAATGCGTCGCTGAGGTACTCCACCTCCGGGCAGTTGCGCCACTCGTAGATATTCAGCGTGGCGTTCAGCCGGCGCATGGCCGGCGTCTGGGTGAGGCGATGCGCCACCTTGAGGCCCTCGACCATGATGGCCATGTCCAGTGGATCGTCGTAGTAGTTGGCGTGAATGAGCGGATGCACACGGGCATCGGGCGAGCGTAGCTGAAGATAGCCGCGCGAGCGTGGACGCATCACCAGCGGGGCAATCACAAAGGAGTCCTGATAGATGATCGGCTCAAAGGTGTTCGCATAGTTGTCCAGGGTGATCGCGGCGCCGCGCCGGCCAATCATGCCGCCGTCGGCGCCATAGCCGTAGCTGCCCATGAAGAGCTGGACGTCGGGCCAGTCGGCATCCTGCTCCACCTGGAAGCGGGTGCTGACAAAGCCCATCACCTCGCTGACGGGCATCGCATAGAAGAAGCCCTTGTGGCCGTGAATAAAGTCCCGCACGGAGTCCTTGTTGAGCAGCTCGGGCACGATAAAGGACATGTGGCTGTCCGGCTGAAGGCTCTCGAAGGTGTAGATGGCGCCCGAGGTGGAGATGTGATCCTGCAGATTGGCTCCGACTCCCGGCAGATGTTGCACCAGCGGTATGCCCAGCGGCTGCAGCTGCTCGGCGGGCCCCACGCCGCTCACCATCAGCAGCTGGGGACTGGCCAAGGAGCCGGCCGCCAGAATAACCTCCTTGCCGGCCAGCACCTGATGCCGGACCAGTCCATGCTCGAAGCTAACGCCCAGCACGCGCTTGCTGCCCGGCTCAATGTGCAGCCGCTCCACGAAGGCCTTCAGCACAATGTCCAGATTGGGGCGCTGCCAGCTGCGGCGCATGTAGCCCTTATTGGCGCTGCATCGCAGTCCGTCCCGGAGTGTGCCGTGGGGCGGGGCGAAGCCCATTTGGGTGTGACCGTTGAGGTCGCCGTCGGGATGAGTGAGGCCGAGCTCGGCGGCGGCCTCCATGAACACGTCCAGCAGCGGCGAGGGGGATCTGTAGCGCTCCACGGTGATGGGTCCACCGTGGCCATGGTACGGGCTGTGCTCGTAGCCGGGCACACGCATGTCCTCCGCCTTGCGGAAGTAGTGCAGGACATTGTTGTACTCCCAGCCCGGATTGCCGAGCTGTCCGGCCCAGTGGTCGTAGTCGCGTCGATTGCCCCTCACGTACATCATTGCATTGATGGAGCTGCTGCCGCCGAGCACCTTGCCGCGCGGCCAGAAGCACTGCTGGTCCTCCATGGCCAGGCAGTAGCGATCCGATTGCTCCGTCAGATACTTCCAGTCCCACGGACTGCGCTGAAAGACCGGATACATTTGCGGCAGATCCATTAGCAGCGGCTCATCGCCGCCGGCCTCCAGCAGCAGCACGCTCCACGCCGGATTCTCGGAGAGACGCGCCGCCAGCACACAGCCCGCCGATCCGCCGCCCACAATCACAAAATCGTAGCTGGGCCGCAGCTGCTCAATGCGTATGGAGCGGACCCGCTGCTGATCGTCCACAATGTCCGGCCGGTAGTCCTTGATGCCCTTGTTCAGCATCAGGATCACCAAGGCCGAGGGGCCCAGCGTCAGCAGGAACCGCCACATGGTGACAAACGTATTCACAGCCGTCATCTTTCGCTTCCAACTCAGGCCAACTGAATGGCCCTCGAGCGGTCAAGTCCGAGGTCTTGGCAATTGCACAGACTGCTGACCCAGCGCAAACCGTTCACCCATAGCGAGTGCAATGACCAAATTTCGAATCACTTCTCTGTCTCGCCGTTTGTAATATTTCAACTCTGCTAGGGTATTCTGCTTTCATATATACTCTGTAGTTGGAGGGAGTTGTAGTTCTTTCGTAGTACTCTAACTCTCTTTTCGGATTGTTTCTCATTGGTTCTATTTTCTGAATTGCTGTGCAGTCATTTCCTATTTTGTATATATTGCTTTCATAATGTATACTCTGTAGTTATAGGAACCTGCAGTTTATTTCTTCCATTCGTAATACTCCAACTCAGTGCAGTCATTTCCTATATGGTATACCCATATTCTATATTAGTTATAGGAACCTGCAGTTGTCATATTCTATACCCTGTAACAACAACTTTTCCCATATGTAGTTTTCTCAGCTACTTCGCAATATGTCAACTCGAATTACTCCATTGTTTCTCTATCATATTTCGCTATTCTCCAGCATAACTCGGTTTATTTATTTTTCACGGTGTTTTGTCTTAGCAACCTCTCATTTCTTATCTGAAATGTTTTCTATATAAGATCGCACATTTCAAACACTGATTAGATTAGCATTAGCTGCTAGTGGAATTGAAATAACCGTACTGATATATATTCACGTGAATAGAATATGTCATAATATACTCGCATTATGAGTAAGATAAGCGGTATTCGATCTGAATGCCAATAACAAACAACAACTCGACCAAAACAAAAGCCTAAACTGAAAACAGCGCACAGAGACAAAAAGCAGCACGTGGACTAATGGGACAGCATTGACCGACTATCGATTACCCTCTGCTCAAAATATCATCATAGTTTAATGAATATTTTCAAATACTTTATATAGTTCTATATTTATTAATATTATTTTGCTACCATTATAATATTTATGATCCAATAAGATTATTTGCAGGAGATTCTCCTCCAATTTGAAGTTTCCCTCTCATTACGGGGCATATGGCAATGCCGCTTGCACTAG